ATACATCTCCCCATGGGTGTCGACTCCAGAAATATTTGAAATCAACTCAGCTAATATAACATCCTTAGATACTGATATAAGTGGATCAGTAAGCTATTATCTATGAAGTAAAATTTTTGGCATAGAGGTCGAGTGGGATCAAGACAGAAATTACTTGTTAACCTGGAGTTGTGATATTTGAAACAAAAGAAATAAGTTACCATTTTCTCATTAAGAAATCAGTGCCTTTGTTATACTGACCTGGCATGGATGTCTATCAGCTGTTGAATTTCTCTAACTAGTAACTTCAGAGAACAACTCAGATTCTAAGGCAGTTTCCATACATTTCAGATCAGCTGCTTGAATCCCACACTTCAGTCCTGTGAGGGAGAGCATATGTGTGCACACATGCACACAGAACACCATATGTAAGGGCTCACTCTATCAAGATTTTATGTTCAGATTTTCCTGGCTTGGCACAGATGTTCTGACATCACTCAGCTGCATGCTGTCCCTGTTCTTTTCTCAAAATATTCTCGAGACCACCCCCCACTCAGGTCGTGTTGACAAGAACTTGCCTCAGGCCTCCCCTGCCCCTTTGCAGCCTGAACTGCCTTAACAAGAAAACACCTGGGGCAGGATGCACCAGCTCTTCCTGTGGTGACTGATTCTGGGGGAGGGTGAGCACTACATAATTTAGGTTCTATAATGATCCTGGAGAATAACATATGCCTCCCCAGAAGACAGATATTTGGCTACTAGAGGCCCGGTGTCCGAAATTCATGCACAGGTAGGGTCCCTAGGCCTGGCCGGCGATCAGGGCTGATTAGGACCTTCTGGCTGCTGGCCGGTGCCTTTCTTCGTTCCGCGTCACCCCTTGGTGGTCAGCGCACATCATAGTAAGTGGTGGAACTCCCAGTCGGTTGAACTCCCAATGGAACTCCCGAGGGGACAATTTGCATGTTAGCCTTTTATTATATGGGATAAGTTACTTCCACTTGGCTCTTTTTCTTTGGAGGAGGCTGCTTAGCACGAGCAGGGTTAGCAGATGTGCCTACAAACTTGAACTCCAGAATCCAGTAATTTCAAGAGGAAACTGGGCCCAGGCGCTTCTTTGGGAACATCTGGGCCTGGACTGTCCCCCTCCCCTTCGCCTCTTCCAGCCTGAGGATTATGCAGACTCCTGCCCCAGCATCTGCACCCTGGGCGCCCAGGGCCCACTCACCTGGATTTGAGGGGAGGCCCACAGCGAGAAACGGCAGCACCCCAAGCTCAGCCAATGCTGGCATGGTGCCCATGCGGTGACTTCGTCTGTCTTCCTCTGTTCGTGTGTCTTAGGCTGAGAAAACCAAGGGAGGAAGTTGGTCTGCGCCCCCGCAGGTCCTTGCACTCCTGGAGGCGCCTGCCCGCCTACAGAGCTCTTCACTCCCGCCCACGGGATGATGGGCGGCACCTGCCAGGCTGCCAGACCTCCCAGCATGACCTCCTCTGGTTATCCCGATGCTGTAGCCCTCTGGCGGTCTCGGGTTTCATAGGCCCAGCCATTGGCCCCTGGAGACAGGCGCTAAGTGTCCACAAGGCTGGTGGGACGCTCAAATGTGTGCACAAGTCCCTAAGGGACAGGTGTGTGATCAAGGTGAATTCACGCAGGTGAATTCTGTCCCACGCTGGGCAAGGAAGTTGGTCACCCATACAAGACACAGGATAGCCGACTTCTGAGAGAAGGAAGACCCAGGAAGGCCTAATGAGTACTTTATGGTACTGCTCCTGCTTCTAAGTAGCTTGTTAAAGGCGTTGACACTCTAGTTTTCAAATAGAGTAGATATAAAAGATCAGATTTATGTCATTACGTTTCTGGATGGCAGTCAATCAACTTCAGTGGAATGGACCAGAACTATATGACCCATCATTTAAGATTATTAAAATAAATTCATTGCTAAGACTATTATGTCAACACTTTTCTCATAAGTATTATTTTGTAACAATTTAGCTTGAGATTTGGAGATGAATAGAGCCAGAATTTGTAATAGACATATCTTATCAAAAAATTAGGGCAAGGCTAAGTGGACATTCTATATAAATCAACTAACTTGGCTCAGTTGTCTCAATTCTGTGTAAAAGAGAAATAAAAGCTCTTTGAGGTGGGATGGTAAACAAATCCAGGGTGGTAAGCAGGCTGTAGACAGATGAACAGAAAAACAGAATATAGTCAGGTGGAAGGGATGCAGGTATAGGACTAGGTAGGTGACAATCAGCTGGGACAATGACCCCTGTAACTGCAGAAGGTGAATGGGCAGCTTTTAGTGAAGAGCTTACAAACTTGGAGCACACTTGTCAACCTTCTTGTCTCATGACCCCAAAGAGTGTTCCTGTGATTTTTGTGTCCCAAGTCTTATTACATTGAACTACCTAGAGCTGCCCTGTCCAATAGGGTGAACACTAGCCATGTGTGGTTATTTAACTTGAAATGAACTAAAATTAAATTTAAAAATTTAGCTAAATTTCAAGGGCTTACTAGTCATCTATGGCTAGTGGCTATCATGTTGGATAGTGTAGATATAGAACATTGCCATCCTTGCTGATGGTTCTATTGGTCTGCACTATTTTTGAGAGTAGCACCATTTTATTTCAAGTGTCATTTTAAATAAGGATGCCTTGGATGACAGTTTCACCTGGGTCTCCAGCTTGGGTGTCTGGGGGACACAGGGATGGGGTTTGGTGAGGTAAGCAGCTCTTTTGTAAAAATAAAGCACTGCACCTCCAGTCTTGAGCACTGGCCAGGAAATTTCCAGATATGGTGGCAGCCTGACCAATGGCCCTCGTCATCTTCATCCCAGAGGTTTGCTTTCACTGTGGTTTTCTCACAAAGATTACCATAACCAGCCCTGGCCCCCAGGGCACAATACTCTCCAATAAAAGCTCAGACTTTTCAAATGGACCCAACTCCTCTTGTTCTTCTTGGCAAAAGGGAGTCAGATTAAAACTACTACAATATGGGAGAAGAAAAAAAAGAACATGTGCTGTGCCAATCTACAGTGTTGAAGTTCATGGCTAAGGTTCTCATGAGGCCCACAGACCTGCCCCCACACTCTGCTGCACACAGTGCACACAGCTTTGCAGGATCTTCAGTAGTTTGTTTCCATCCAGAAATCCCCATGGGGTTGGATACAATCTCATTTCCTGCTACAGCACAGCTCCCTTCGTTTCCAAAGTTCTAAACTCACAGCCTCAAGTGAGACCTTGTTCTTCTATATAAAGGATTGGTCTCTTACAAGCCTAACAAAATAATGGTTTTCCATGAAATAGGGAAAGATCCATTCAGTATCAGTTGCATAATACTCAATAGTCATGTTGTTAGACTTAGGTTTAAATGTGTAAGATGATGGTTTAAGTGTAAGTTAAGATTATGGAGATGTTCAAGTGCCCAAATGGAAGTATTCTCTTATTTAGAAAATAAACATTAGAAAAGGAAGGACATCAGGGAAGGGAAAAGTGGACTACACTACCCTGGTTTGGGCTTGTGATGAAAGGGGAATTTGCCTTTAATGTGAACATATCTTCATTACGGTGGAATAATAATGATTCGCTGTTGGAAGACTTCCAAGATTCTTGATGGAAGCCCCAACTCTAAGGAGTGTTGTAAAATTAGGAGCATTAGGTGACTAACCCTTGAGCAATGAGCAAACTATGGACAAATAATATATTATGTAAAAAATAAAATTTTCCACCCCAGCTAAACCACTAATCTAAACTCTAGAACTCTCCAAAGTCCCACAAGGCCTAAGATTCAGCACTAAGGGGATTATTGATGACCTTAAAAAACAGCAATTTCATTTGAATATTAGTTGCAGGGACAGATACTACTATGATGCAGAGGGAATTTGAACAATGAAGTAGAAAGAGTGGGTGAAAAAAATTCATTCAAATAGTTTGTCTGTGAATGACAGAAAGATATGTAGTAGCAGCAATAGATGAAGAGAAATAAAGGCTTTTTCCCCCAAATGATTTTGATGGTGGCTACCTGTATATGTGTTAGAAGGGGGGGTTAGTGGGTGAGTGAGAAGAGTTTAAAGAGTTTATGTGCATATATGCATAGCCCATAGACACACACAATAGTGTGAATAGTGTGG